ATGTATGTATGTATGTATGCATGTATGCATTTATGTATGTATGTATGTATGTATGTATGCATGTATGCATTTATGTATGTATGTATGTATGTATGTATGTATGTATGTATGTATGTATGTATGTATGTAGGCATGCCATGCATGCATGCATGCATGCATGCACACACACACACACACACCTCTTTCAATCGTATTGCCAATATTGAGATTCTAAGATTATGATCACGGCGACGTGGGTTATGACTAGTTTCTTGTTTTTAGTTTTTAGATGGGGAAGAAAATACCTGGGAAGCATGGTCGGGTGAGAACACATTGCTAGCTGCCTGGCTTCCTCACGGCGTCACTACATCAGAGGCTTCGGTAGCTCAGAAGACCAAAGCCGCCATGGAACTTAGGTTAGGACGTCTGATTCAAGTTCGTAAGGCTCAAGTCTTCCCTTCTGCTACTGTGGCTCAGGGATCGTCTGGAGGCGCTTTGGTCGCGCCCGAAATGGAGGCAACGGTTTTGCTGCCCCTCACAGGGTGGCACAAATCCAACTTCGCCTCAGCATCCCGGGACATGTTCAGAGCTCTCTAAGCCAAAAGCGATCTCAAGTGCGATGGCCCACAAGTCCAGCACTAGACCCTACTGCCTTGCAACGTCTAGGGCCTAGGGTCGCAATAGTTCTACCGAAGCGATGACAAGGCCAAACCCCACAGAGCTCGAATCTTCAGGACTGCTAGAAGGCTTATATAAGCCCTCAGTGCCAGACATCAGAAAATACAAAGGTACGTCCCACCCCCCAAAAGCCGCAAAGCGCTGGCGCAGGTGGTAGCCCTTAACACTTAAAGCTCTCTTCCCTAAACCCTAAACTTTGAATCCAACTCTTAAATCCCCCTGAAGCGGAAACGTCCGAAACGTCCCAAAGCCCTGTGTTCGTCGGAAGTTCCGGCTGTTCCAGGCAGCGCCGCTTCCAGCTGAAGCCGTCGGTTGGTGCTCTCCCCAAGACGGGCTTTTGTCTTGCTGGGTTTAGGGCTGCAGGGTTTCCGGCTTTTGTTGACAGATTTTGTTGCTTCAGATTCAGATTGTTGTTGGGTTTCGCGGTTGGGGGATTTTGCTAGGGTCCCAGGAGGGCTCGGAGGAAGATTCGTTGCAACTTCTCGCGCAGCCTCGTGGCCGGGCACTCTCTCCGGAGTTTCAAAATCAGAAACCGAAGAATCCGGACAGAGAGCTAACATGAAACAGAAAGGCCATATAAAGTAACGCAAGGAACAACCCACAGGTTTCTTGCCACTCAGCTCCGCCCCCAGGTAGACACGGCGTAAAGCTCCGAGAGTTGGGATTAGAGTGCCGTAGTTTGAGCTGCCCAGAGTTTCGGGGCAGGTCCAAAACCCGCCATGGCCTCTGACGAGGAAGTAGATCGACAGAAGTCCGGAGTATTCCTTGGTCTTGTCAATAATTTCTCCTGTCTTGATAAATTCTCGATCTACCTCAACTCTGGTCTCGATCTAAACTCGAACCCCCCTCAAACCCTAGAGCCATAGAGTCACTGAGCCCTTCAGAGACCCTGAGCGCCCAAAGCTCCTATGTGCCTAGAGAGCCTGGCAACCCTAGCATCTGTGTTGGCCCTTGAGCGAGTTTGTTCTGGCTCCCTCTTCAACTCCCCTTGGCCTCTGAGGCGAGCATCCTTGCTTTGCAGGCTTCACGTCCATGCTCCGCGGCCGAGATTGGAGTTCAGGGCTTGGCCATAAGGGCTTAGCCCAAAGGACGAAGCCCCGAAAACGCTAAAGTCCTGAAGCCCATGAGGCTGTAGAACAAATCCGTCTAACAGCTGCAGCTCGCTCAACGGATGCAGCCCGAAGCGCCAAACCCCCAAGCTCCAGGAACCTAAACCCAAGTCCCTCAAACCAGAACGCCCAGAACCCGCCAAAAGCCGCCAACACCCCCAAATTCTGAACCGCCTTTGTGCGGCCAAGGATCCACGACTCCGGTCGATGCGGGGGATGGCAGCGAACTTATCCGGAGGCTTTGGGAGTTTTAGGACGTAAGGGTCAGAATAGTATCATGTCTTAGGGCTCCGTTATGAAAATCTTGTATAGTAATCAAGGCCCTATATTCGGGGCCGACATGTACGGTTGGAGTACGGGTTTGAGGATATTTAGGATCTAGCTGTACGGAAATCTTTAGAGGTGTCTTGATCATGGGGGACGGTGCGTTGCCCTTCTTTTTTTTTTTTTGGTGGCTCCGGCTTCGGGGATCGCTCGTCGTTTGGCTCTTTTTCCACATTCAAAGGTGTTTTGTGTTTGGATATCGGAGTGGGGTTCGGTGTTGAAGGGCCTCCTTCTCGGAAAAGACCCGGGAGGCGAGGAACGTTCGTTGCAGTGCATATTGGGAGAGAGCGTTTTTTGGATTCGATGCCCTGTGTGGGTAAGATGTCCGATCAATGAAGTTCATGTGACCTAGCGGCACACTTAGGCCTTTTCGTAAAAGAGGCTTAAGGGCTGTCTTACGTTGGAGGAAGGAGCGCTCGTGAACTCCGGGCCAGCAGCGGTTTTCACGATGTTTTTTGGACTCCCGGCGCTGCATCATCTCTTTTCCTTCGAGCTGGGCTTTGCAACGGCAGTGCCGCTAATTCCATGTTCCCAGCCCTTTCAGCCATTGTCGGACAGGTGGGACAGAAGAGGGCCTACCTGAATGTAGGCCGGGTGGCCTCGATTTACGGCCCTAGAGGAGAGAGCCATGCCGCCATGCCATCTTCGGGTTTTCTTTTGGGCCTTTGGGCGTAATTCGCTAGCTAGGTTGGGCTGGTGGTCCACCGGATTGCTTCATATGTCTCCTCAGTAGGCTAAAGACGATCCATCAAGAGTTTCAGAGACTTCAGATGAGAGGTTTGAAGCCGCCTTTAGGGCTTCAAGGCTTCAGGAGGTCTCAGGTCTTTAGGAGGTCTCAGGTCTTCAGGAGGTCTCAGGTCTTTAGAGGGTTCAGGGGTTTCAGGGTGTCGGGTAACGCCGCTGTCGCCCTGTGGGGAGAGGAATGGAGCGGAGCTTTGGGCTTCGTCGGCCGAAACCCAGAACGCTAAAGCCGCGAGCCCAAAAGCCCAAGAACCATCCTGGGAGAGGAGAGTCTTAAATCTGCAACGAGGGGGGGGATCACCCCTGTTCTCAGTGTCCTTCAGAGGCATGGGCAGGCGCAGCGAGTTCACGCTGGAGGCATGGCTTTCCGCTCGGGTGTCGGGTTTTCGGGGAACCAATGATCGCCGAGTCCAAAATGCTAAGCCGGATCCCAGCTCCGAACTGCGTGGACGTAGGCTTGCCCCAAGATTGCTAGGCAGAAGCAGATTCGAAGACACTCCATACATCCTTTGGCAGGACGTGTTCTGGAATTAGCAGAGATTGATGATCAGATAAGGATATCTACCCTGAGTGGTTGATGCCTAGGCTTCACTTGTGTTCTGCACGACACTGCCTTTTGCGGGTGACTTGGGGCAGCCAGGATCTGGTGGCCGGGCACATCAATGTATGGGCGGAGGACCCCGGATTCACCAAAAGCCATCGACCACCGATTTTCAGGTGGTCCCAGGCACAGTGTGGGGCAAACTCTGCTGGGTCCTTGATCTCCCGGCCTTTCACCGAGGTGTCACCTTCCCTAAACCGTTCCTTGTCTGCTTCGAAACTCTGTTGGTCTTCCTAGGAGGGATCCACTGATCTTCAGCGCGATGTCGCAGTGAAGGCGCGACTGCGACCACCAGCGCTGTACCATTGCCCGTGCGGAGTTCGGAGCACAAAGCTGCTCGAAGTTGCTGATAAAAGGGAGCCGGCCGAGGCGTGAATAGCTTTCCCCCAGATGTTTTGTCGGCTGAATATCATAGCATAGCATCCTAAGCCCATGCATCGTCTTTTAGTCCACGAGGGACCTTGTTTTCACATGTGATGGTCTGCGCGCCTCGTGTCCGGCAGAGGCAGCCGAAATCTATGCCAATGTCCACAATGTGGACGAGCTGACGCACGGCGAACAAACCTGCGTTTCGCGGACTGTGTGTAACTTCGCCGTGGATTCACACAATGCTCAGCATTGAGGGATGTTTTTTGTCTTGGATCATTGGCTTGGTTCGCATGATTCGGGGCTCCCGGGCTCCGGAGAAGTCTGAATTGTGCTTTAGGCCTGAGAGTACACTGCAACACGCAACACCAACCCCTAGGTACTGGACGGAAGCCGAAGCAGCTTCCCGTCTCAAGACAACTGCGCACAGGGAAGATGGGGTAGGAGAGAATGTGACATGTTCACATCGCTGTTGGTCTCCGTCGCATCATGAATCCTAAGGTTCTGAGTCCAAAAGCAACGTCCCACTGAGGAAGCCCGCAGCTGGGAGCGCCAGCTGGATGGAGCACGAATGCAAGGCCCTGCAGGGATCGAACCTCCTCACATTCGCCCTATAAGAGCCATAGAGCATTCGGGGAAGACTTGGACTCTAACAGTTTAAGGGGGCCTGTGTAACCCTAGAGCCGGACCGCGGCTCCATCGGAGCTTTGGGCCCCCCACGCTTTCCGGGGTCAGGCAGTTTTAAGTTCATAAAGTAGAGGCCACCCCAATGCAAAGGACCCTCTTTGGCCCTAGTCTTTGCAAGCTCCACTCCCAGTGTCCTCGAGCGGGTCGTGCTTCTGTGGGATGGGAACTCCGAATGAGACAGCCGAAGCTATGACGATAGCGAGACGTAGACGGTTACTGGCAAGTGGAGCTTGCTGTTCCAGAGAGCTCCCGACTTCGAGGTGATGGGAGAGATGCCGTTCATGTACACCTGCTTCTCGGAGCAACTTCCGTTTCAGATGCTCCTGGAGTGCCCTTGAAGTCTTCTGTCGGTTCTGAGCCCTTTGAAGCCGTGGGGTATCGGCTATCTGAACCCTTGAAGCCCAAACCCATGAAAATCCGTCTTTCCCCCTTCGCGGACTCAGAACCCCAAGCCCTTGATGCAACACCTGAACCCTGAAGCCCAAAACCCAAAAGTTCGCTGTACCAAAAGCCTGCAAGGCCTAACTAAGCTCCCAAACGCAAGACCCAAACTTGAACAAAAGCTCCCAAGACCTCTGACCCGACCCTGAAATCCCCAAGACTGCAAAGTCCGTGAGCTCTACTAGAAGCCTTACAGAACCCGCTTTGAAGCCCGAATCCCATAGAACTCTGCTAGACCCCGCTTAGAACCCTCAGGGAAACCCCTCTTGGAGCTAGAAAGTCGTTGAGGCTCCGATCGAATCAACGTCCTGCTGCAGCCGCCTTCATGAGATTCGGGCTCCCAGAGACTCCAATATCCCTTAATCAAGGAATGTACCTTAAAGTATAGTAGGATCCTTAATATGATTCAAGGTATATTCCTTAATGAAGGGATATTGGAGTCTCTGGGCTATACGCTGTCAGGTTTGTTGCACGGGGTACCGAAGGATCCTGATTCCCCAAAAAGGTTGCCTAGAGCAATTGCTACTGTAAGGGTAGCAGCGAGGCTGCCTATGACGGGCTCCCTAGAAGGGTTTTCTAGCAGGCCTTAGGATTTCAGGATGCCGTGGACGCACCGAAAAACTTCTGAAACCAAAGAGCGAGTAGGCACAGTAGGCAGGACCGCGAATCACCCGACGCCAAAGTAAAGCCCGAGATCCGAACAGCTACACGTTCATACAAACGCATCACACCAAAGGAGGATGCAGCCCCTTTCTTATCTATTCCTACGAAAGCAAACCCCCCAAAAAGCCGTATTCTTTCTGCTACATGTAAAGGCCTTCAGGAATTGGATTCCCAGCTTCCCAGGCGCTGTGGCTTCGACAATGCATTCGTGATGGCCCGTGCCCCGCTGCAATCCCATGGTTTTAGGGCTCCTGGACACAGAAGTATGAAAACAGGTGCTTAGGGTTTTTAGGGTTTAGGGTTTAGGTTTTAGGGTTTAGGGTTTAGGGTAAACACAAGGATGTTTGACGTATAAGGGTCCCTACACCAAGGGGCGGAACGGAATGGGCAAACGGCTTCCTTGGCCTGCTAATCCCAGCTAGGAAGAGCGGTGTAGCGAGGCCTCCTTGGACCTTGCCAGTGTTGCTGTTAGGATTTTTTTTACCGGCTGTAATATGCTACAAAATACGATAATATAGTATAATCTACTATAATATACTATAATATACTATAATATATTAAAATATACTATAATATACTATAGTATACTAAATTTTACTATAATATGCTATAACAGGCTTCAGGCTTTGTTTTAGATCCTTGGGCTGTGGGGCCTCAGGCTGTTGGGAGGCCTCTTCCAGCTTGCGTTTTTTGTTTCGGCTAAAACTCTTGGCAAACACTAAACACTCCTTTCCGTAGGGTTAATGCTCAGCAACTTGGGTTCTCCATATACCATCATAGTATAGCTTTCCAAGCAACACCACCCAAGCCTGAAGCCTCATCTGCACACCCCCCGACCCCTGAGCTGCTGGTTCGTAGAGGTGGGTTTTGCGGCAGAGCTTCGAAGGCCAAATGTGATGGTCATGGGAAGTCGGTAGGTCAAGGTTTCTACTTTGACCGGCCTGCGATGTGGAGCCGACCCCCAAAGCCATCACATGCCAAGATGACTTCTTGGTCAACTTTCCTGGGCCGGTCAACAACAAGTCCAGTACCAACGCAGACATTATCTTCTATCTGTGCCAAGAGCTCGTGGATGTGTGGGGGCCTTGGATCTGTCCTTGTTTGGTGGACGCCTCTCACCAAAGACCTCTGTTGCCTGCCCAAGTCCTGCTGCCCCCCTTTAAGGCCCCTGCCTACGAAAGGAGTCCAGAAACTTCCCAACCAAGGGGTCAGCGGGATAGCAACACAAGCTGCGACCCACTGATTGAGAGATTCAATTCAATGGTTAGTGTTCGCAGACGAGCATCCCAAAGATATCCTCATTTTTTGTGGAACCTCATCCAACCGATTGAGTTCCAGCCCTCGCAGGAATCCGAACCCTTACCACGTCGCGCTCTTGGGACTGCATGAAGTAGAGTTTTCAAGCAGCACCTGCGTTTGTCTAAAGATGGTTTTTCAGGTTGTTTTTCAAGGGGCACAGCACTTTCTTTGATGTGGGCTCGCTGGCAAAGCTACCGCCCAACAGTCGTGCACAGTCCCAATCGCTCCTGCTAGTTGCATACCGGGACCTTAAGACGATACCCACGCCCTGGACTCTAAACCTCAAACCCCAAACCCTAAACCCTAAACCCGAACAGGCCCCAAGAGCCCCCCTGAACCATGTCGGCGCCTCGCCGAGGAACACCTTCGCCCATGAGCTAGCTCATGTGATTCAGGGAGGTGCCGAGTGTGGGCTTTAGTGGTTTGGGGGGGGGGTTTGGGGTTGTTAGGTTTGAGCGTTTCGGGGCCGAAGTCTTTTGGTCCAGCGCCTTGGGGTTTCCAAGCGGATTTCAGGGGGTCTGCAGCCAGATTATCGGATCAACATCTGAGCACACCCCGCTTCGATTTTGCAGTTCGGGTGTAGGTGTATGGCATATGGTTGGTGTGGGCTGCATTGGGCGGACTTTGCTTGTTCATGTTGGCCACCGATCAGCAAGTCGTGTCGCCGTGGGATTATGGTTCCAGGGCTCTGCAAACCAGACACCGAGTGAGTGCCATGCCACAACTCAAGCACTCCTTGGCTCTCTCCTTTCAGTTGCTTTGCTTTGTGTTATGCAAGCTGCTGCTAAAAACCCCATTGGCCCTCGGCGTCACGAACCCCTAAACTTCCCTAAGCCCCAAAAGGCCAAAAGCCCTGAGACCTTGAAGCTGCACCGTCCAATGTAGGTTTCGGAACCAGCACCACGGTGATGATGGAGGGCGGTGCTACCTGGCTGGAGGCCCCGCCCACAAAGATGCATGTATGTCAGGATTTAGGGTTTACAGCTTGTTCTGTCTTTTTTCTTTTTTTTTTTCTGGGGCTCGGTCTCAGGTGTTCGAGGATGCAGTACGGTTCTCGGGACGATGCAGGTCAAGCTCAGGCAAACCCGCAGGAGAACTCAAGGTCCAGAATAATTAATTGCAAAGTGCACGGAGCTTCGCAACCTGCACCGGTATAGGGGTCACTGTTCAACTTCTTCTCGCTCGTGGGTTTCCTAAACCCTTAAGGCCTAAAGCCCTTAAGCCCCTAAAGGCGTGAAACCCCGAAGCCCTTGAAACCCTGAATCAGGGCAGCCTGCTCAACCTGGCGCCCCGGCCCATGGTCTACGCCTGGGGATTCCGTGACTGGACCCTCGGGCCGGGAGCGGCTTAGGACTTCCCAAGATTGCCGGGAGATTTTCTGAAAGTGGGTCGGGTGCCTCTGATTCCGAGATAGTCGGGTGTAGGCACAGGCTCGAGAGTTGAAGCATGTGCGAACTTTGCTCGGAAGGCTTGGTCACGGCATGTGGGGAGAGAGGGAGAGACGGAGGCAACCACGACGAGTGATATATCGGCGATGTTGAAACTGTGAACCATACGTAGACTGCTGACCACAGAATGAAATCCCAAGTGTGAGAGAGACCAGAGACATGGAGACCGGGTGCAACGCTTCTTGTCTAAGAGATTCAGGGAACTGCCGGGACAGCACCCACGAAGCTCCGCTACTGTTAAAGAAGGCATGAATAGGCTTAAGCCAAGCAGACCCAGACCACAAACCCCGAAGAAGAACCGTACGAGGTAGAGCCTCAGCCGCAGCTCTTGAAAGCCAATCCGAAAGGAATCGCATCAATGCCGCGCACATCTACGCTCAGACAAAGAGGAAGAACGCTCGCAAGTGTCTTGGCCAGCAAACGTTTACGACCCCCTCATGGGGCTAGGTGATACTGCAAATTTCGATGAGTCAAATTCGCGCATGTCACTGTGCCCCAACTGCCTATGCTCTGACAACCAGGACACGATGACATAAATGCTATGCTAAGCAAACGCAGCACGCACCGAGGCCAGCCCTCAGCGGAAGGCTCCCCAAAATCCTGCGAAGCACCCAAAACTGAACCGCCGAAAACGCCCCGAACTCCAAACGAGCCCGAAGTGCACAAGAAGGCCTCAAACATCCCCAGGTTTTATCAAATCCACGCCATGCTGCTCACCTATCTTTCGCAGGCCCGCGCTGCCCGCGGAGCAGGGGTGGGAGAAAACAGTGGCCAGACCAAGGTTTTGGGGTACGTTTAGTACATTATACCTACTAATAGCCAGTTACTAGTTACTAGACGGGACTATTCTGCCATGGTGCGGAATGGCTTCCTTTGGTCAGGTAAGCCCCTATTCTTCCAGCCGAGGCTACCGCTCCGAACCGAGCCACAAGCTTCAAGCTACAACCCTTCATCAATGGCATGCTCATGAAAAAAGCGTGAGAACGGGAATCATGAGGGCCGCGACACACAAGCTAGCGCAGTATCATTCGAGTCAACCCTGCAGATTCTACATTCGATCCCCTAGACACCCAAAAAAGATATACAACCCAAACATGGTAAAGCCAATACCCTGAGTGCCTGCCCAGCCAAAAACCTGAACCTGCCTGAAGCCTTCAACCCGAAGCCTTCAAGCCCCAAAGCCTGAACTTCCGAAGCCCTGCACCCTAAACCCTGGAAGCCCAAACCCTAAAACTTCCCAAGCCCAAAACCCAAAACCTCCCAAACCCCGAGCGGAGGCCGAGCTTCTGGGCGACTTCGGTGCGAGTGCGCTGCAGTTTCTCGGACAGGGGTTTGGGGCTGGAGGAGAGGTTCTGAAGAGAGCAACCTTCGGGATAAGTATGATCCAGTGAGTATGATCGCTGGATGGGCATCGGCCGTCTTGTGTCGCGTTTGGGGGTAGGGCAGCGGCTGCTGGGTCATATCTAGCCTCTTCATTACTGCATCGGTCCGTGAGGTCACAATCTGCGAGGTAGGCAAGATCATGCCCGCAGCTGGCTTTGCATATTCCAAGTCTTGTCTGAACTGCACACTCCAGGAACCAAATAGCAGCCTCAAGCCTTCACCTCTCAACTTTTTCAGGCCGTGGTAAACTCAGCATCCGATGCCCAGGAACTATCAGGTTTTCAGCTCGGAGCTGCTACCTTTTGGGAGGAACACCTACGACGCGCAACCCGCAGACACACCAGCGTTCCTGGGTTCCTTCGGGGTCCTTACATGCCCGTCATTCGGGCACGTACGTGACTTGTGGGAGTTTCAGAGCTTTGGAAACTTCTGCTCCTGCCAGTTCCTGCCTCTTGATGACAAGACTTCGCACAAGCTGTGCTTTCGCAGATGTCATCTCGCCTCTAGATTGCTACAACAATGCATTGAAAGATTCTGGACAACCCGTGCCGCCAAGACTACTCGAAAGAGAGCTAGCCCTAAACCCTAAACTCTACTCTACACTTTAAGCCTGAGAGTCGAGCATGAGCCAAAGCTTCTCCCCAACTGCGGGGAGCTATTCGGGCCCAGGATTACTACTTCCATTACGTGGGCCAGTCCCAGCCGCAGTCGCTGGAGACGCTCCACATGGATGTGGGCCGGCGCATGGTTCAGATTGTTTCGTACCTGGCGGAGCTTTGTCGACCATTGTCTAGTCTTGTTGTAGTCTCTGATATACCACATAGAACTGGTTCAGTAAGAGCCTCGTTGATCAGACTGCTCCACACCGTTGCTTCGGCATCACTGCGCAAGGAAGCTCACTTGAAGAAGCAACCTTCACCAGATAAAGGGACTCGAAACAGTTTCAAGAGCTGATTCGGTCCGTTAGGCTTCCTGAAGCCGAAGTCTTGCTCAAGTGCTGTGTAGTTCGTTTCGGTTCGAGTGATTCCGTGCGACGACTCGCACAAGTTTCGTGCATAGTTCCAGACTCACTGACATGAACCGGCCTGGGCAAACCTATAAACATGATCGAACGAGCCACGCACTAATCAGTTGAACTGACCGAGCTTGTTGAACAATTGCTTCCCTAAATAGTCCAAAGCGCTGAAGCAAGTCAATGAACTTAACAGCTCCTTGAAGTTCAACTCCCTCAAACATGCCCTTCACGCTTTCGTGTTCGAAGCTTGAGGTTTCCACGGTGCAGAACCCCTTTAGTGAGGCTGGGTAGAAGAGCTTCAGAGATTTCTTCCGACAGAGGGTTTCGGATTTCCCGACTGTGCGACTTGGGGTTTTCTCCACCTGACAGTGGTGTCATCAGCCGAGACTTTGGAGTATCTAGAAGGAGAGAGCTGCGGCTGGTATCGAGTTATCTCGATCGGCCCACCTTTCCGCCAGGGCTCCGAACAGAAATCCCAAAGAAGCCCACACCACGTCAGCCTGGCGCCAGCAAATGAAAAGATCACTCCCGCAAGGCTCAGGGGCTGCAGAGAGTTGGTGGTGCTGCTTCTATCTGGAAGGGCCCCTGAAGCGTTGGCGCCCGAACCCCAGTGATGGTGTTCAGGGGCAAGCTTGCCCGGAGGTTATGCTGAACTTCCGCGTGGCCATCGCGGCGCAGTGCATCGTCGAGGCAGGACGTGGATTCGAGCTTGGGCCTGACGTCTCCCGTAAAGTAGACCCCTCCCTAAACCCTAAACC